CTCAGTAAATCTTATTAGTCAGTTTGCATGACCTTGTCCCCTGAGTACTTGACAATAAACACAATAACAACAAAACGTCTAAGTAGTTTTACTAACATTATTCTGTAAACCAATGGTGGGTGTAAATAGGAACTGAGGAAAATTCTAGATCTTTATCATTTCTAACATGTCATGTGGTGAACCTGACTTAGGAGGTTCACAGTAGGAGCTCTTCTGACAAACAGCATAGTGGCAGCAGGGCACACCAACCGTCACTGTTGACCAGAAGAAACTCGCAGGACTCACTGCATTTTATCACAGGTGTCCTATTAATAGCAAGTGAACTCAGTGTTTTCATATTTATGGTAAAACTCTCAATTTTATTACTGAAAATGGTTGTTTTAATTAGGTAAATAACAAATAACATTATTTGTTATAAGTCCCAACTAGGCCACACCAGGTTAGTGTGGCTGCATTGGGCCCATAGACAGCATAATGGATAACTGTACTCAAGATGGCCACAACCCAAATATGACACTGGCTTTTGTCCTTTGAAGTCCTGTGGCTCTAAAAATTTCCTCTGGCTTCATATGGTCTTATAAGAACCCGTTAGTCCTCTTATTAGATGATAAATTGCAGAGGCAAGGACTTTCCTGAGGTTCTTTAATCAGCAAAGTGTACAACTCAGCTCAAAAGACTTTTATATAATCATTTTTTTTTCAGCTACGAGAGACCAGACCTGGGGATGGGGGCAAGATTGGGAATGGGCCCTGCTGCAGTCTGAGCTTATGGCCGCCTCCAGTTCCAGAGAGTACGGAGACAGGCATAGGAATGGACACTAGAATATCAATATCTAATTTCGTATGTGGCGTATAGTCTCAGGAACCATCATGACATTTAAACATGTATTCTGTGAAATATGAGGAGAAGTGAATTGTCCCCCAATGAATTGCAAATTTTTAAAACCCAAGAGACTTCAATTGAGAAAGGTACTCATAAGGTCTCAGAACCTGCAATTTGGTTTTGGTGTATGGAAGAAGAAGTGGTATTAGTTGGGGCGAATAAAGGAGGTTTTTGTTTTGTTTTTGTGTTGCTTAGTTTTGTTTTAAGGAACATTTCCATTTCATTAGAAAGAGGACCTTTTTTCGGTGATCCTGAAAACTAGGAACTCTTTTAGCTTATTGATTTGTGGAGAATGTAAATGAGCACTGAGCTTCAGACCAGAGAGCTGGATTCTGGGAACTCTATTGATCACTGGAGTTCCTGTCCAGCTCTACGGTTAGGGTTTGACTGGCAGGGGAAGTGTTTGGGTTGGTAATTGACTCTGTGCTAATGACAGAAATCCAGGAATTCCAACTCTGTCTGATGTAAGGCTTGAAATTTGAAAGTCATCAGGGCATGTAAATCCATATATCAAAGTCCAATTTATTTTCATGTCAGTAAAATCAACTTATAAAATTTTAAAAAATAGACACAGGATTATTTCTAAAAGCAAAGAATCTGGTTTTAATTCTTTAATTCTAGAGTATTTTAACTTATGAAAATTTACTTTTTGTGAATCTACAAAGTATTTTTTATTTCAAAAGTTGGACTGAACTACCTAATAAGTTTCTTTCAACGATCCTATCTGTTCAGTCCACATTTCTCTTCCGCCTCTCTTCCTGTTATCTTCAGAAGATCCTCTTCCTCGTCCTATTTTCCATACCTCCTAAACCCCACACTTTTTCATCATCGTATACATTAAAAAACGTATATGAAGTGCTTACATTGTGGCAGGCATCCTTTTTAGCACTCCATTCCCACAGTGCCACCACACCAATATCCTAATGTGCCTCTCTTACCACCACATTCAGTCTGCTGGTCAAATCCTATCCTCCCTCCCACAGATGCCTATTTCGGTGGAGGTAATTCTGCCTGAGCTTCTTATTTCCTCATAGAAATCATTCATTCTTTCCTTTTTTCTCTTTCAGCCCAAACTCCTCAGAATTCATAGAACAGAATCAAGCCTGAATAGACCTCAATTGGGTGAATTTTAGCAATATCCTGCTTTTTTGAAGTGACTAACTTAGTAAATTTTCTGAATTATTTATTTTTTAGAGGCAGTTCTCGGATATGTTACTATTCTCTACCATCAGCCCTTGCCTGGATAACTGCAGTATGGTCTCTCACATCCACCCTGCACCACCCTCTGTCAATCCATCCTACCAGAGGCAGAGTGGTCTTTCTAAAATGCAAATATAACCATGTTACTCCCAAGCTTAGTAGTTTCTCATTGCCCATTTTAATTAAATAACAAATCTTTAATTTGGCCTAAAAGGCCTACTGTAATAGACTCCAGCGCTACCTACCTCTCTGGTCTCATGTGTCCCCATCAGATGCTCTGTGCTAGGGCCGTCTTGAACTTCTTTCACTTTCTCAGACTCACCTGTTCTCTACACTTCAGGGCCTGTGCACCTGCTCTTCCCTTTGCCCAGAATGTACTTTGTTGCTTATCTGCTTCCTGCCCTCCTCCCAGTCCCTGCCTTTCTTGTGGCTAGCTCCTAGCCAGCCGCTGAGGCATTTCTGCCTGGAAGTCTCCCCGAGGCGGCAGAGCACGTTGGTGCCCAGGTATGTGCTCCCGTTGGACCATACACCTTTCCTTCACAGCACCGGGCACATATTTGGCCACTTGATTAATTATCTACGGTAATTTGTTCATTGTCCTCCCCAAGAAATCATCCATGAGAGCAGGGACCTTGTCTTTCTGTCTGTCTGTTCACGATATCCTCTAGAGCCTAGTACAGAGTAGTTTCTCTATATAGATGAGTCAGATATATAAATTATATATAATGTAACTTGGAATATAGAATAATATATATTTGCTTTCAAATGCATGTATAAGATAACCTAACAATATTATGCAGTGGGGGTTCTTCCAGGTCTTGTTTTAAGGAATAGATAATAACTACATGTAATCACATACTAATAAATGATGCTTTATGTATTTAAGAATAGTTTGTTTTTCTTAAGCAGTTTTAGCTGTTCTCTTTAAAATCTGGTTCACAGTAATATTCTCCTTGGAAAATCATTTTCTTTTAGCTAATGCCAACACTTATTATCCATCAAATTATCAGAAATTCCAACTTATTGAACTCCTAAGTATAGTTAACAATAATGCCACAATTTTCTTAAAGTTTTATTTTGGAAATTTTCAAACATATAAAAGTAGCGAGAATAGAATAATGAACTTCTGTGTACCCACAATGCCATTTTAATAGTTATCAATAGATGGCCAGTCTTGTTTCATCTCTACTCTCTCCCTCACCTCCTTCCCCACCCTCCCAACCCTGCTCACTGGTGGATTACTTTAAAGCAAGTCTAAGACATCGTTTCTTTTCATCCATAAATACTTTAATAGGTACTGTCTAAGATAAGGAGTCTTTAAAATAATAACTACAATACCAATATCATACCTAATAATTAATAACAATTCCTTAATATTGTCAAATATCGAATTAGTATTCAAATTTCTCTAGTTTATCTTATGATTTCTTTTTTAAACTGGGAGTTTATACAAATCGGGATTCAATGTTCCCTTCTCTTTCTGTTTTTATTTTTCTTTTTGTCTTGCTCTTTGTTTATATATGTTTTGTTATTTTTTTTATTTTTATTTTTTTGCTAAGGAAGATTCACCTTGAGCTAATATCCACTGCCAATCTTCCTCTTTTTGTACGTGAGCCCCCACCACAGCATGACCACTAACAGACGAGTGGTGTAGGTCTGCACCTGGGAGCCGAACCTGGGCTGCTGAAGTGGAGTGCACCGAACTTAACCACTAGGCCATCGGGGCTGGCCCTGTTTACATATGTTTCAAAAAGGGTCATTTGTCTTATAGAATTTCCCACATTCTGGATTTTGCTGATTTCATCCCCATAGCCTTCTTTAAAATATTCTTTTCCTTAAATTTCTTATAAACTGGTAGTTAGATCAAGAATCTGGATAAGAGTTAGGCTCATTTTTTTTTAAGCAAATATAAAAGTTACATTCTACCTACTACCTGAGCAGTATCCTCAAAACTGTCAGGATCATCAAAAACAAGGTCAGCAAAAGTGTCAAAATCCTGCAGAGCCTGAGGAGACATGATGACTAAATGTAATTGGTATCTTGGATGGGATCCTGGAATAGAAAAGAGAGGAGGACATTACATAAAGACTAAGGAAATCTGAATAAAGTATGAACTTAAATTAGTAATAAAGTATCAATATTGGCTCATTAATTGTGAGAAATATGCCATACTAATGTAAGATATTAGCAGTACAGGAAATTGGGTTTGGGATATATGGGAACTCTCTAGTATTTTCATTTTTTTTGGTAAGTATAAAATTATTCTAAAATTAAAGGTTTATTTTTAAAAAGTCTCCTATTCTCTCACTTGTCCCTTCCCCAGTTGTAAAGAACCAGGCATTAGAGGGCCAGAGGTGGGAATCACAAAAAGACTGCTCTTATCAACAGAGTGAACTCCTGCTCAGAGCAGCCATGGGTTTGACTCAAGACTCAGAATTTGGATTTCCTTGCCTATTCAACTAAAATAGAGAACCTTAAGCATCTGTTATAAATAAAGCTTTAAACAGAGTAAATATTAGTTTGAGGAGAGTATCTCTTTCCCTTGTATTTCTCAATCTTTACTGTCCACCCCAGCCACACACTTCAGAATTCTCCTTATGCAATTGTATGAAATAAAAATATAGTCTCTTTTCCTTATAAGTTGTAAAAAAAAAAAAAAAAAAAAAAAAAAAAGTCTATCTTTTCCTTCCCTGATTTGAGATGCTACTTTTACTAAATTTCCATTTTAAATTCTAAAGAAGTAAAGAAAATCACTCTAGTTTAGTTCCTAATAAGCTAAACTATTGAATCCCAATTTTTTGAATGATGATTTTACTCATTTTAACTTTTTTCTTTTTCCCCCCTCTCAGATTTGGTGAGAAGAAAAATACACATTTGCTGTTTGTTTTTATAATCCCTGAAAATTTTAAAGGTATGTGCCTATTGGATACATTATTTGTTTTTTTCTCCAAATAGAAATCATAAGGTCAGTATTTAATGCAAAGATTCTTAGGTTGTATTTCAGGGCACAGAGCTGATATTACTTTAACTGAACCACTGACAACGGAAAAAATGAGTCTTGTGGTAAAATACTGGAAAACATATTTCTCAAATACTGGTGAGTGAAAAACAAATTTCCAAAAGTTTGAAAAATTCTAATTAAAATTCTACAAAAACTATATTTATAACTTTTATGGTTGGTTTTCCACTTAATGCCTTTTATTTGCTAAGGATTAACTGTATGCTGTGTACTGTAAGGAACATGTAATCCCTGTTAATCACAGTCTGAAGAAAACAAGTGTAAATAAAATAAAGGGAAACATATGTTCTCTACCTGTGAAGAAAAAGTTTACGTCTTCAGGGTTTAAAATGTGTTGCACAGGGACAAATACAGTGGGGTGGTAGGCACGGGTTATTTTTTTTTTTTAGTAGAGAGATTGTGTTACTTTGTGTTTGGTGGCCTAGCTACCACCATCATTTCTTAGTCATTAAAATGGAATTAATCCTGCTATGTCGTTGTATGATTGTCTAAAAGCAGGGGCCACTAACCTTTAATCCTATCGTACTTTCCGTTTTGCAAAACACTTGCATGTAAATTATTTTGCTTCTTTAAGTTAATAGGGTGGTTATCTCTTCTGTTTTAGATTTTTAGACACAGATAATTAGTGTCAAACCTTCAATTAGACCTCACATCTCTAAACTCTTCTCCTATATTGTATTATGCATATCACCAGCATTTAAGCACTTGAGCTAATTAAATTAGCTTTAATTTGGCTTGTAAAAGGACAGACTCCAATTTTTGGAATTAAATTCTCCTGGAATCATTGTTGGTCAATGACAATTTATGGTTTTTCTAGGCCTGGGATACCAGTTAGGAAATCTTTTGAAATTAAGATGAAATTTTTCTTAAAATAGGCCTGAAAGACATGTTCAGGGTTATTCTGTATAGGCTCATACTCCAGATGATACAGGATTTAGTACACCCTTCCTTTTTTTAATGTTCTTTTTTAATCTTCAGGGAAGATTAGTGAGTCTGTTTGGTAACATTCCAGTGGCTCCCAGCCCCTGCAGTGTCAGAGTTCTTCCTGGAAATGGCTAACCGTGGTGACTAAAATCCTTTCTGCTACCTCTTCTTATCGGGTTCTCAGTGGAAATAGAGCAGCTGCTCATCACCACCTGTCTCGCACCCTTCCCGTTGGTCATAACCGTGTCAGCTTCTAGTCATCTCATCTTTGCTCTGAGGATGAGCAGCTGCAAAAAAACCCAAAAACCAGCAAAACCATCAGATGCTGTATTTTGACAATGCAGCTGCTTACTGAAGACTCATGCATATTTTCTGTCTCTGCCATTTACCTATAAATAAGATCTTAATAAGTAAACTCAGTTGAATGTGTTTTAAGCATACCTATCGCTAAGTTACTAGAATCTGATTGAAAGAGGATGTCCTGGGGTAAATAGTATGTAGTATTTCAATTTTGCTTTCTAACCTGGGTGGTTTTATGCTTCACAGGCTGGGAAATCTATAAATTGCTTTCTATTTTAAAAATACTGTTTTGTAAAATGTATTGAGTAAAAAGTGACAACTGCTTTTGATTAGGGCTTGTATGTGTGATTAACATCATCCCCACCAGTGATTTTAGAATTAAAATGGTCCCCCTTTTAAAACTTTCAGTTAAGAATGAAAATTCTGTGAAGCCTGAAGAACTTGGATTGCCCCTGCAGAAGTCCTGCAGTGAACACCTGGGATATTTTTCTACTGATCTATTTGCTTGGTTAGTTTTTTTCACTTTTTCATAATAGCAATTTTTACTGTATATATTTCATCAAAAAAATTTCTGGAGAACTTAGTGATGGTGGAACAGTAGCTCAAGTGCTGGTGGGTGATACAAAAGAAAGAAGAGGCTGTTTTGTGGAAAAGGGATGCAACTTTTTCTGTATTTCAGATCCTGAGCTGGGACTATGGGTACACATCACAGACATATTCAACTCAATGTAAGGAAGCATTTCCTAACAATCATGGTTGACCACAGGGGAGCAGGGTGAATTATAAGGGAGTAAGTTCCCCATCACTGGATGTGTTAAAGGAGTCTCTGGGTTAACACTAATCAAAGTTAAATAATAGCAGTGGTGTTCAAATGTTTTTAAAACAGTGGAATCTTTTCTTCAAACAAAACTTTTACATATAACCTCTATTTAAAAAGAAAAGAGCAGCCTCAGCTGTTATCCATCTACCACTATACTTCTCCCTGAGGTCTTTTTTGAACTCATGAACCTATTCCCCCAATTATTGGAATCAACCCTTAAAAAAGGTCTCTCTCTCTCTGTCTTTCTCTCTCAGAGATATTAGAACTGGCATTCAAGCCTGCATTGAATAGGCATTTGAACTGGGGGTCAGACCCTTCCAATGCTAGCATTGTATGCTTATAAAAATACAATTTCCATGAATTTCTTCCCTTCACTTTAAGCTGATTTACAAGGAAGTTTTAAATAGAGCATAACTGCTGAGGATATGGGTGATGATGGTGGGAATTTTGAGTTAGTCACTTCCAGAATCTGTAGAATGCGACCAACTATTTGTAGAAATGTGACTGTCTACTATTTTGAACAAGGAAGAGACCTGGCAACCAGTAAGAGTGGTTAAACCAAAGATGCACTCATTTAAGTAGTAGAGATATCAACGGCTTTCTTGATCTTATTTAACATTTTAATCTCAAAGAGATGTATAGTCATGCACCACATAACAACATTTTGGTCATCGATACACCACATATATGATGGTGGCCCCATAAGATTTGTACCATAAAGCCTAGGTGTGTAGTAGGCTATACCATCTAGGTTTGTGTAAGTACACTCTATGATGTTCATACAATAACGAAATTGCCTCACAACTCATTTTTCAGAACATATCCCCATTGTTAAGGGACGCCTGAGTATACCATATTAAACCTTATCTGGGATATGAGGTTGGGAAGGGTTTTGGAAGGCTTGGTGATTTTCTTGTATTACTTCCAACTACTTTTTGAGCCCTCCTCATCTTGAGTCTTTCTTTGTTTTTCTTCAGAATCCTACCACTGTAAATAAAAGTAAATTTTCAAACCAAGTTATGTCTCTTGGGATAAAAGAGATAATATTAGTTTGTAAGTTTCTTAGGGAAATAGTTTTTAAAAATCAATCAAAATGCTTGGAGAAGTTCTAGAAAAATGTCCATTAAATGACAGATTTTTAAATGGAGGGAACCTGCCCTTCACTGATCAAGTTGGAGTGGTGTACCTTGGCCCTCTAGTCATTTGTGCTTTTTTCCTGTAATTCACCTTTAGGTGCAGTCAGCTAATTGGGGATAGTCGTAATCAGTAAGGTCAGAATATTTTAATCCTCTTGTATCTGTTATTCTTTATCAGTATATTTTAGAATTTTGATCAGTCATTGAATTTATGATCTTGATAAATTCTTTTGAAATTTTGAAATAAAATATTCTGCACCAAATATGTAAGGTAAAGTGCTTTGATGTTTACTGCACCTTTGTATGAAGCAAGAGACTTAGAGAAGGGCCCTTTGATTAGTATATTAGTGCTTTTTGTTTAATGTTGCCTGAGAATTTTCCTCTTAAATGCGCGGTATGATTTTTCTCGTTTCCAGCTCTGAATCTCTAAGAAATGACTTTGGGCTTGAGCTAAAGGCTCCGTTGTCAGATTTCGAGAAAAACAAAAAGATTTCTCTTCTTCATTCAAGCAAGGAAAAGCTGAGAAGGTGAATTATGATACAGCCCTTTTTAAGCATGATTCCTTTGTATGAAGAGATGATTTTCATAATTTTTTGTAATATTGTTAAAAGTCTGTTTGAAATTAGTAAATCTGGCAACGAAATACGTGCCACTCACTCATTTATTTACTCATTCAACAAATATTTGTGAGTATCTACTATGTGCCAGAATATGATTAGAGAACCGAGATAAAAAATAAATCTTTATCTTCAGGGAGGTCTTAGTCTAGTGCTCAGACAGACTTCTAAGTCAGCTATTTTCTATTTTAGTAAATGTCATGATAGGAAGAATACACAGTAAACACACAAGGGAAGTTACCTAAGACAGAATGAGGGGGCAGGGAAGGCTTTCTTAAGATGGTAGCTAAATTGAGCTTTAAACAAAAAGTCACTATTAATTTGGTTTAGAAGTCAAGGAAGGATATGGCAGGGGTAGCAGGTACAGAGGCTGGTAGTATAAGAAAGTACAGTGAATTTATGAAACTGTAAGTATCGCCATATACTCTAAGGGCATGAATGGGAAGAGGCAACAGATGAGAGGTAGTAGGTAAGGGCTGGGTATGTCATGTTAAGGAATTTGAATTTGAATCTGAACCATTGGAGTGGGGCACTGAAGGATTTTAGCAAAGGAATGATATGATAATGAACATTCTAGCAGGATGTTAGAGAGTGAATTGAATCTGGAGGTCAGTGGAGTCTGCAATAAGAAATGATGAAATCCTGAACTATGGGGTTAGAAATGGGATAGTAAGGAATAAGCCAATTCCAGAGATATTAAGTAGATAGAATCAGTATGAGCATGGCTGAAGGAGGAGTCAAGTGTAACTTCCAAGTAGATATTGAAACCATCAACTGACTGGGAAGTACAGTAGAATGGCAGTCTGGCAGTGGGAGGTGAATTTTTCTGTTGTTGAGTTTGAACACCTCCTGGTTTAAATGGAGCTGTCCAGTCAGGAGTTGGCCCGTAGGTTCCAGAGAAAGATCTAGGCTAGAAATAGAGGCTTGAGCTCTCATGATACAGCATCTATTTGAAGCAGTGGATGTAGGGATGGATATGATGACTTTGAAAATCATTTAGGGAAGAGATAAGTGGACAAAAGAACCTTAGAGAAAATCTCAATATTTAAGGTACAGGCAGCAGAGAAGAAATCAGGGGAGAAAGAAAGAGTTACTGGGAAGGTAAGAAGAAAACCAAGATGGAGTGCTATTGAGGAGACCAGGGGAGAAGAGGGTTTCCTAAAGGAACTGAATGTTCAGGAGTATCACGTGACACAGATATCAAGTAAGGTAGGAACTGATCATTGACTGTCTGTATTTAACAAAACCTAAATGTCATTCATCTTGGCAAAAATAATTTCATTGGCATGGTTAGGGAAGAAGCACCATTGCAGAAAGATGGAAAATGAATCATGGGAGCATAGATGAAAGGAAAGAGAAAAATGAAGGTGTGTGGTACGTAAAAGGGAATTTAGGGTAAAATGAGAAATTTTGATAAGACTGGGCCAGACTTGAATATGTTTATATTTATATTCCAGAAGAATAGAGCTGGAAGAGAGACAGAGGTCTTGAGGATACTTATGTTCTGGTTATCTATGGCTGTGTGAAAAATGAAACCAAAATTTATTGGCTTGATACATGGTTTTATGGGTTAGCAGTTTGAGCAGGGCTCAGCTAGGCGATTCTTCTGCCTGCATGACATTTACTGGGGTTAGTTGGCAGTGTTCAGCCAGTGGATGGTCTAGTCAGGAAAGTCCAAGGCGTTACATCTGGAGCCTTTGCAGGGATGGCTGGAAGGCTAAGCTCAGCTGGGGCTGTCAACTGAAGCTTCTCCAACATGATACTCTCAGGGTTGTGGGACTTCTCACGTGGCAGCCCAGGGCTCCTAGAGAGAGTGTTCCAAGAGACAGAAAGAAGAAGCTGCCAGTCTCTTAAGGCCTGGGACCAGAAACTGGTCTGGTGCCACTTCTACAATATGCTATTGGTCAAAGCGGTCACAGAGCATACCCAGATCCGAGGGAAGGGTACATAGACCCCACCTCTCAGTGGGAGAGATGTCAAAGGATTTTAATCCCCTCCAGCTGGTAAGGGGGGTTGGTGATGGATTTAGCCTATTCTTGAGGCAGCAGAAGGCTATGGAATCTAGAACCAGGTGAAAGAATTCCTCTTGTACTGAAAATAGAGAGAAGGAGCTAAAGCTAAGTGTGGATAAAGGTGAGTCTTTTGATGGAGACCAGAAAGGAGGAGGAAGTTGAACAAGTTCTGCCAAATGGCCTCCATTATCTGCTGAAGATCAGTGGGAAGATGATGGGGTTTTGGGCTTGATCAGATGGGCTGGTGGATGGGTCTCGTCCAAAAGGCCTTCACTTACATGTCTGCTACCTTGGCCAAGTGAAGACTGAGGGCCTACTGGCCAGTGCTGTCGTATGGATTTCACTGATCTGCAGTGAAATGAGAAAAATACAGTGCAATGAGTATTTTTAAGGCTACATAGTATACAATTTATATTCTAAGATTGTTTTCCATACTTTATTTGGTGTTAAAATTGTGGTGATCTTAGTAAATTGTTACAACAAAATGGTATTGGGAGATAGTACCTCTCTCATTGTTTTTCATGTTCAGATCTAATGTTGTCAATCCTTTACTGGTCCCCCAAAGTTTTGTGTTTTTATTTTTTAATTTTAACGGTTGATGAAAACTAAAATCCGAGAACCACTCATCTAATAGACTAAAAAGATACTTTGGGAGTGTCTACCCCTGTGGCATTATTTAAGGACTAGAAATCTTTGTTTCCCAAAGAGAAAAGCTGTAACCAGGACCCCCTCTATTCCCTTTTAGAGATTTGCTTGAGAGATACCAGAAAGTAAACAATTCATCCTTAATTACTAATTATTTTTTTGCCTTTTCCTCCTCGTAACCCTTCTGATCATGCCTGTGAATCTTAAAATAGATTCTTCTAGTCTATTTCCCTTCTTCCTCCTCTTCTTCCCAATCAGCTGCTTTACATAGGTTTGGTTTTTTTTGTTTTTAAGCAGCATAGGGTAACATGGTGTTTGCAATTGTTAAGGAAATAATGATCTCAGCTGATGGTTTTGAATATTTATTTGCATTTGGGAATTTCTTTTTTAAACAACTCTAAAATCTCTATTTTCTTTCTCAGAACATAGTAATAAAAATTAGCTACCTAATTTCAGTATTCTTGGTGAAATCCCTTTCATTATACATGTTTTAAATACATAAATATTTCTTTATGTTGGTAAAGTATGTACTTTTCAAAGGGATGCCATCATTTTGTTTGTATGTCCTAAAATCTGAAGTGATGGTGGTTTAATAATTTTCAGCATGTCTACTCACTCGGAAAGAAGTGAAAGTGAGTTTTGCCGTAGCTTCTCACAAATGAAGGCTTTTCCAGGGCTGCTCAAGTCTTAGAAATTCAAGGCAGGTAGAACAGAAAGTTCTCAGAGGGTGCCAAGTCATATCTGGCCAAGAGACCTCTCTCTGTGAGTTCTTGTTTGCTTGAGACACATGTGTACAGAAGAGAGACTCAAGGACTTAGTTGGGACCAAGACCTTTAGCTTCAGATCTCTGTCAGCCTCTCAGAATCACTCTTAACTGGGGAAGAATGAAACCAGATGGGTTCTTTTCCTGATATATTTGGATTGGGTCATATCAAAGCTGGCTTCTGTGGTAGATGACAAAGATAAAACATGCTCTTTGAACTGTGTTGCCCGTTGCTGCTTCCATACACAAAGGAAAAAGAAAAAGACAAGACCATGTGGAGGCCTTGGAACCTGTTATCCTAAGTCTTCGAGCCAACATTAATATCCTTCAAAAAGTCACTAAACATTTCCTTCTCATTCTTCTGTTTTTTTAGTTTTTCAAAAATTGTGGCATAATTAAAATACAATGAAATTAATATACAATGAGATTTTTTTTTTTTTTTTTGTGAGGAAGATCAGCCCTGAGCTAACATCCATGCTAATCCTCCTCTTTTTGCTGGGGAAGACTGGCTCTGAGCTAACATTTATTGCCAATCCTCCTCCATTTTTCCCCCCCCCCCAAAGCCCCAGTAGATAGTTGTATGTCATAGTTGCACATCCTTCTAGTTGCTGTATGTGGGACGTGGCCTCAGCATGGCCAGAGAAGCGGTGCGTTGGTGCGTGCCCAGGATCTGAACCCGGGCCGCCAGTAGCGGAGCATGCGCATTTAACTGCTAAGCCACGGGGCCGGCCCTACAATGAGATCTTAAGTGTTTGGTTTTTTTTTTTTTTCCTCTTTGGTTAAGTGTTCATTTTTTGTCCACCTGTTTACTGGGTTTTTCTGTTTTTGTTTTTTTATTGGTTTTTAGAGGTTCATTATATATTCTGGATACTAGCCCTTTGCCAGATATCTACATTGCAAGTATCTTCTTTCAGACATATTACATATTTTTAGCTAATATATAATAGTTGAATAAAATTCTGTTCACAAGAGGTCACTTCAAAGGATGACACTTTACTTATGTATTTGCTCCACTACCACTTAAGGATACAGGTTGCATATTCCCCAGCCTTGTCTTAACCTCAAGTTCCTAACCTTGATGTTAAAGCTAGAAAGATTTCAAGAAACAGTGAACAAGGCTAGATCCATAATGTTTGCTGATATGCTTCATAGTCTCAGGATATTAGAAAATTTAGGATAAAAAGTTAGGCTCAATAGGTGTTTATAAGAGATGAGTTGCATGTGTTGAAGTGTATGGTTTGATGAGTTCTAAGAGATGGTTTGTTCCTCCCAGTTTCCAAGAGGAAGAGGTACACCACGCTGCTCAGGGCCACACAGGGAAGCGCCAGGGTTGGGCAGGAGGCAGACAAATGCATACACCCATCTAAACCACAACATTTCCATCAGATTAAGATATTCCCTTGTGTATTATGCATGTCTTTTTATTCTAATGTTTTGACATGTGGGACCTTACTGACCAGGGGAGACTGCCCCTCCCAGGGCTAGCCAGT